ACTTTTTCTTATTATGAAAAGGTGGCTTATCCTCCTGCTAGCAAATCTGATTAACCAACCAACGTGCCGCCGTAATTCTATGCCTTGATATCCTTCAGTATGTCTTCCGTACGCAAAATAGACTGGCGCATTAAGAAGGAGCTTTTTTTTATCCCGATCGCGACTGCAGCCGGCGGACTCTCCCTGTTGCTATTCATCCCTGATGACCGACAGTCACAGTCGCCGGCATGGTCGAGCATTCCGATCTCTAATCTCTTGCATGCTGGCTCAGTCCGAAAGTTGATATGAATATTTGGGCCGAACTCCATCAGCATTAGAGGCATAACGACGTAATATTCATAAACTGCCAACAGACGGACCACCTTATAAAGTCTGACAGGTGTTCGTTTTCTACGGAGCTATCCAATTCTCATTGCGCCGCCCGGTCCGTCTTACGCGATTGAGACACAGCTCTTCAGACAAATAGAGTATCTGGATTTCTACAATTTTTGTCCTGTCCGCTTTGGATTATTACCTCGGCATGCTTAACTTGCACAACTAAGGCATGGAGTATGGAAAAGGAAATCTCGCAGGTCATTTGGTCATTATACCCGGGTGTTCAGTGACACAGCTGTAAACCCTGAAGGGTACCTTCTGTTGGAGGCAAGTTCGACCGACTGTGGTCGTTTCACTTAACGTAGACGTATGCGAGACATGTTGGCCTAGTTGACTGTTTCTACCTAGCTGGCTTTTCAGGAAGGGCAGTCGCAGGCTTCGCATTGAAATATACCATCTCCTTGACATGACTAAAAAGGGTCTCCTACCTTACAGATAACAGCTGAGAAGAAAAAGGAGTTTGTCCATGTTCAACATGATGCTGCAGTATTTCCGGACAGATCTCTCCGCGGTGTGAAGATTGCATCTGTCACCTTCGACCGTGAGTTCATTCGCCATGTTGCATCATTTTTATTGATTGTTTCCTACCGCAACCGGGTTCAGAACTACATTTACTGTTTCTGCCAGTCAATCTCCT